AAGAGTTTGGGTTTGCAGAGGGAAAGCAACCTGGGCATCCTTGGGGACCCTGGAGCCATGTCCCATGCATGACCAGGAGCCAACCCCAACCTCATCCTTGATGGCACAGCAGCCATGGCTACTTCAACCCCCAGGTTTCAGCTAGAACCTAGTTGATTTTGGCAGCCCTGAGCGTACACCACATCCCAGACACCACCAGCACTTGCCATAGCCTTTCACAAAAGCTACTTCAATATTATTTAATGTGAAATATTCATGCCCTACTCTTCTAATTTAATACTATTTATGTTGTGTCTCCCACCACGCAGGAGTTCTGCAGCCACTCCAGGGGCATGGCAGGGCAGGTTAGGAGGGAGCACATATTTTTTAGAGGCATCAGCTTGCAAGCACCAAGTTGTTGGTGAAGGATGAAACCTGAAGACGGCTTCCTAACACTTTCCCCTTGCAGCATCACTCACCTTTATGAGGTTCTAAGGAGGCAGCAGCAATCCCCACTGACGGTGGCTGTCACCTGTGGGAGCAGTGACAAAAGACCCAGGCTTCATAGAGATGCGTTTTGGTTCAGAAGGCAAAAGGAAGAGTCAGGAGGGGAATGCTGCCCATTATTCGGAGCAGCTGAGCAGGAGCAGGGCAGAGCAGAGCAGAGCAGAAGGCAGCTTCAGGTGTTGCCTTCACTTTTGCATGCCCCAGTTTCTCCTCTGGCAAAATCAGCACCATGCTCCTGGGCTGTGGGGAAGAGCATCCCTTTGCAAGGAGCTTGAAGCGGGAAAAAAGCTTTGCAGAATGAAGGGTTTGCAGCACTAAGGTATCTCCCAGAGTAAAGCTGCAGCCCTGGTAAGGGGCAGGGCTTGGGGAGGCAGGTCAGTGTCATAGGAGGGGACCCCTTTGTAACTTAGAGAAAGGAAAGACTAAGGTGGGTGCAAATAAAGCAACAAAGAACCTCCTGAAGAAAAAAAAAAAAGAATTTTTTCCCCTGTTTTTCTTGTTTTTCCCCATAGGTTGTGCACGGTTTCAGGGCCCACAGCCCCTTGTATCCCCTGTGTGAGCCCCCAGCCAGGATGCGGAGAGTGCTGTGGAGCTGCCTGTCTGCGGTGCTGGGGCTGCTGCTCTGGCACCCTGCCGGCGCCATCAGCCCTTGCTGGGAAAGCACCAAATGCCAGGATATCACCAGCGAGGCCGGCATTCTGGTAAGCCTGGGCATGGGCACTGCCTCCACTTGCTTTGCTTTCTAATCCCCTTCCCCCAGAGACCCCAGGGGGGCTGGCAGAGGAGGGGATGGGGATGCCAACACCATGGGGTGAACCACATCAATGTAGGGGGATGCTTTGGGCCCTGGACCTGCAGGTTTCGGTACGATCATGCCTCGGCTTCACTCTGCGGGATGATGCTAAAGGAAGTTTTTGAGCTTGCAGCATTTAAACTGACAGAAGGGGGATTTAAATGAGGCAGAAGCTCTTCCCTGTGAGGGCGGTCAGGCCCTGGCACAGGTTGCCCAGAGAAGCTGTGGCTGCCCCATCCCTGGCAGTGTTCAAGGTCCGGTTGGACACAGTTTTTAGTGGAGGTGCCCCCTGCCTGTGGAACTGAACGATCTTTAAGGTCCCTTCCAACCCAAACCATTCTATTCCATGAAACAGCAGCTTGGGTATTGGCTTTACCTCCACCCTCCAGTGTGCTGTAAAGGGTGGTGAGGACAAAGAGGGTGGCACCTGCATGGAGACCTCAGCAGGGCACAAGCATGAAACCATCTTGTGAAATGTCCTGCTCCATGCAAGCAGCCCCCTGCAAGCCCCCCCAGTGTGTGCTCACCCCTCCTGCACATCTCACCCCCGTGCAGGCATGTGCTGCAGCATGCAGAGCCGACCTGTCAGCCGAGGAGCCCGTCTACCCGGGCAACGGGCACCTCCAGCCCCTCTCCGAGAGCATCCGCAAGTATGTCATGAGCCACTTCCGCTGGAACAAGTTCGGCCGGAGGAACAGCAGCAGCGGTGGGGGGCACAAACGGGAGGAGGCCACGGGGAGCAACCCACCTCCCACATCCCTGCCCGTCATCCCACTGTCCCGCCGCGAGGAAGAGCAGGGAACCGGGCTGGAGCGGGAGGAAGGCAAACGCTCCTACTCCATGGAGCACTTCCGCTGGGGAAAGCCAGTGGGACGCAAGAGGAGACCCATCAAGGTCTACCCCAACGGGGTGGAGGAGGAATCAGCCGAGAGCTACCCACTGGAGTTCAGGCGGGAGTTTTTTTTCACCTGAGAAGGAAGAGGAGGAAAGCCAGGAGGAGGAGAAGGCGGCCGGCGGCTTGTACCGCATGCACCATTTCCGCTGGCACACCCCTGTGAAGAGCAAGCGCTACGGGGGCTTCATGACCTCGGAGCACAGCCAGACCCCTCTAGTGACTCTCTTCAAAAACGCCATCATCAAGAGTGCCTACAAGAAGGGGCAGTGATGGGGGAGAGCCCGAGGGGCGTCCCACCCCCTCCCATAGCTTTAGTGTCCCGCTGGCATGTGTTTCACTTAGAGATCGCTCATTATGTTGTTCTTAATTAGTACTCCCAAGGGGTCTGCTCCCGGGTTGCGCTGGGTGGGAACAGGTTAGGGATACAGACATCCACTGCTTTGCTGTGCCCACTGGACAGGCACGGGGAGCAGGGATGATGCCCGGTTCGAGGCATGCCAGGTGATTTTCGTATTCTCACTGAGCTGTACAATACTGTAAATGATAGATTAAAAGAATTCTAAAATAATAATAACGCTAAAAATAATAATACTTCTTTTGTTTTTGCAAGCCTACCAGGTGTCAGCGGTGTCTCTGGGGGGTGTAAAGGGGTGGGAAAAATAAAAGCAAAATAAAACCCTGCAGCTGGGGGGTAAAGAGACATGGCTGGGAATATGGAGTGGGATTTGGGGAGGGACGAAAGAACAGTCTTGCACCTCCAGCGTGGGAGCTTCACAGGAGCTGGCTGTGGGGCTCTCACAAGGCCAGAGCAGGTGCTGCGGCTGCATTTCAGCAGGGGGCAGCTCCTGCACACCACAGCAGAGTGTTTTGGTCCCGGAGAGGAGCCCCACGCTGATGTGATACGTGATGGCTGTTTGCTGGCAGCTATGCAGCATCCTCTGAGTGCTGCCACAGGAGCAAAGGGACTGAGCTGGGCTTTCCCAGCACGCACCTCCCAGGTAAAGTCATTAATTCCCCAATAAATGATAATGCTGAAGAGAACTGGGTACCAGGGAATCACAGAATCCTAGGATCCCAGATTGGAAGGGACCTCAAGGATCATCTAGTCTAACCTCTTCTGGACAACCATGACCCAGACTAGATGGCCCAGCACCCTGTCCAGACACATGTTAACAGTGTCCAGTGCTGGGGAGTTACCACGTCCCTGGGGAGATTATTCCAGTGGCTGACTGTTCTCATGTTGAAAAGTTTTCCTTTTGTGTCCAGTCAGAATCTTCTCAGAGGTTGGAACTAGATGAGCTTTAAGGTTCCTTCCGACCCAAACCATTCTGTGATTCGGTGATTCTATGAAACCAGGGCTCATGCTGGCACTTTCCCCCCACTGCTTAGCTAAGAGATGTCCCAGGCCAGTCCGTAATGTAGCAAGTAGCAGCTTGCACATGGCACAGTGCGCTCAGTGCATGGTTTGGCTCCTTAGATCTCCATCGGGGTGGTTTAATTCTCATTTTGGCTCTCACAGATGGTTTGCGCATGTTCACACGCACCATGGGCAGATCCCTACAGTCCTGTGCACTGCAGGGAGCTTCTGTGAGATTGGAGAAAAATAGAGGAAATAATTATAAGGGATGATCATGAGGAGGCCCAGTTTGGTTTGGATCCTGGGCACAGAGCTGGGGGAAGGAAACTTCTCCACAGCCAAGACTATCTTCCTCCTCACCCCATACCTTCCCTTCTCCAGTCCAGAGCAACCGCCCATTTATCGTCTTCCAGAGACACGCCAGGACAGCAGAGCCCCAGAGGTGGCAACATCAACATTTATTGGAAAAGGGCATTTAAGATGGTGTATTTGAAAATATCAGGGGCCCTTATAACAGCCTTCTCCTCCCCTGCTCTTGGCTACACACAGAAATGCCACAGTGCTCCAAAATACAGAGATGGAAACGCACACATGCACCGGAACTTCCCACTTTGTAGAAATATACTTTGTCATCTATACGTACACAAGTATCTAAACTAAACGCGATGTACCAACAGATCACTTACACCATGGGTGGGGGGCATTTACAGGTGGAGTTTGCATCCCAAAATATGGAGGGGACATGGTGAGACATGCTGGGGGATGCAGCCAGCCAGGAGGTGATGGCCCCAGCACTGCTGCAGGGTCCCACACAGTGGAGCAAGGGAGAAGCATTGGGATTGGAGGGACAGGAAGCTGTTCTGCTAGGATAACCCGCAGGACAGCTCCCCAGAACAGAGGCCACGGGTATTTTCTGCCCCTCAGGATGATGGGCACCCTGAGGTGTGCCCCATGGTGTTCCTTTGGTTCCCTTCCTTCAGTGCGAGCAAACCTTGTGCTCATTTTCCTACCTTCTTTGTGGTTTTGAAGAGGTTTTTTTCCCCACTGACATAGATTTTGGGGTTAATTGCTTTTCCCACTGTGTTTTGTTAAAAAATTTAGTGCTTTTCATGGGAACAGCCACAGGAACAAACCCTTTTTCCCCAAGCAGCTAGCTTTGTGTTCCTGCTGCTCACCCCAAAACCTGCTCCAGCCAAAACTCAGGCTTCAGCAGCACCAGGCATGACCCAGGGAGGAACAGGGGACAGATACACATTGGGATGCTGAGGAGAAGCAGAGCAAGGGGAGAGCCTTGGTCACTGGAAGGGGCTGGTGCGGGCAGTGCTGTGATGCAGCCTAGGGACCAAAATAAACCCTGTTTTTTTCCTGTCCTTTTAAGCTAGATCATTTCCTAAGCCCGGATTACAGCACAACCACACAAACAAGCGGTGACCTTGGGGCAATAGTGAACTGTATCTGCCACCAAGGAAAGAAAAGGGGATGGTAATGTGTAGTTACAGCTTAAAATAACAGCCTGAAGATCTACAGTGAGGTGGTGGAGAAACAGGCTGTGGCTAAAGGAACCAAGCAGCTGCGTTACCTGCTGTCCCTCCACCACATGCAGAAGCAGGTCCCACATCTCCAGCTTTAGATCGTTCTGTGTCTCTTCATCTGGCAAAGGCAGAAGCAGCGTGTCTGGCCAGAGGGGAAGGGGCTGCCCGAGCTGGCAGGAGAGACCCCCCCCAAGCTGCTTGGAGGGTGATGAAGCTGCAAGGCAGTGCCTGTCTGACTGCAAAGCGCGCTCAAACTCGCTTTAACGCACCGACACTTGAAAGGCATTTGAAAGCAAGAGAGGCCCTGTGAACAACTGAATACCCCAAACTGACCTTTCCTCCCCATCCCTAACATCTTCACCTTCCAGATTTGCTTTGGTAGGACCCAGAACTTCCAACCACATATGTCAAAAGCAGAACTCTTGAGTCTGGAGGCTCATCTCCCCCTGAGCCCAAATCCAGTTATCCAGTTTTATCCTATTGCACAGGAAGAGGCACAATGCAGGGTCTGGAGGGTGGACCCTCTAAAACGCCTCTTATCACAGCTATTTCTTACAGCACTGGTGTGTCTTTGTGATTATGGCTCAGGTGATTGAAGACTGGGCTTTGTCAAAGTTTTCTGCTAATAAAAATAATTAAATAATTCTTTGAGACAGGAATCCCAAAACTGTGAAAACCCAACCCAAAAGTATGAAAATAGTGAGTTAATGTGTTTAATATTCCCCAGGGTGGTGGTTACTCCTGCCTCATGTCACTGCTCCAGGTGCCCCACTCCCACTGGCTCCTCACATGCAGCCTGCCTGTGACCAGGGCAGGAGACTCGGCTCTTGTGGATTTTGCCAGGAGAAAAAAAAAAACAAACAAAAAACCCCAAAAAACGGTGGGTTTTCCCAAAGAAATTGTGTTTCCAGGTGCCCTGGGACCAGCCAGGCTGCCGTGTATCCCCACACCGGGATGGGATGATCTTCACCCTCATGCTGCACTGGGCAAGCCCTTTGTCCAGGGCATCAGGGCACAGTGGGGTGCCCAGGGGAATCAGCCACGTGCCAAGGGGAGTAGGGGAAGGTGCAGGCCCACAGGCTAGGAGCTGGACATGGGGACCGAATCCCCTCTAGCAACCTGACTCAAGCAGCAGCTCGGGCAGGTTTTGGTTTTGTGGCTGCCCCTGGCTCCAGCACGCTGCACCCCAGCCCCACTCCTGCCTTTTACAGTCTCCCACCTTCCAGCTGCAGCCCTGCCCCTCGCCAGGGGCTCTCGACGTGGCCAACAGACGATGTGGGGAAGGATTCCCCAGAGAAAAGGTTTGGTTTATGCCAGGAAGATGTACATGAACAACGTGCTCTGCTGGGAGCCAGAGCGTCTCCTCTGCCCTTCCCAAAAACCGAAGCCAGCGATGGAGGTCACAGCAAATACCCACCTCCCCACACCACTGTGCCTCCTGCACCACCAACTGCTGTGAAACATGGACACAGAATAAAGTACGGAAGACGGGTTTGTGGTGCCAACGAATCTGAGGGGTGGCCTCAGTGTCCGTGTCCCCACCCGTCCTGCAGGAGGATGTGCTCCCCACAGGGTCAGCAGTCTCTCCCCGAGAGGTCCTTTGGTGCGAGCTGTGCAGCAGTGGCTCTGCCCTACCAGCACGGCCACCTTCAGTACACGCACAGGTCCGGGAACTTCATCTCGTACACCGGGATGGAGTGGTTTTGGGGCTGGCCATAGGCAGCTGTGATGGTGCCAGAGGGGCTTGGTGGTGGCCTGAAATGCAAGAGGTGCAAGGAGGTGGTTTATAGAGAGGTTTGCTGAGGAAGCAGAGCTTGTGCAGACAATGTGCATTTCTGCAGTGTTGCAGGTCTCCGCCGTGCTGCCATAGCAGAAGGGAACTGGGGCAAAAAAGCAAAAGCTGCTCCAGCAACCCTTGTCCCCTCTTGCCAAGCCCAGGCTGACACCCATCCCCAGCACATAAGCCTCCTTGAGAGGAAACACAAGTAGCTCCCATTGCCCCAAAGCCAGCACTGGCCCTGTGGTCAAGCCCCCCACACTTGGCAAAGCATCTTCTGCCATCACCCCAACTCACCGTATGGTGATCTCGAAGATCTGGTTGAGTTTGCTCTGCAGCAGCGTTGCCTGTAACACAGACACAGAGGCTCCATCAGTGCAGCTGTACCCAGGTACCACAGTTGTGCAAACTGGACAAAATCCCCAGCCGCCAGAGCAGGGGGAAGGTGGCCTGGCAAAATTCAGAGCCACGTTGTCACTGTCCTCCTCTCCCAAGCAGAGAAACCATAGATGTAGAGTGCCCTGGTCCCCACTCACCCGGGCACCGCAGTGGGCAGCGATCTCCTCGAATGGGGCTTTCTGGAATTTCTCCACCACTTGTCGCCTTCGTTCCCGCTCCTGCTCCTCCACGGCTACACTGTCTACTGAAGCAGAGGGGAGATGGCTCCCAGCTGCTCCTCACCCACCCACACCACCACATCGCACCTCCCCAGCAGACAGCATGGATTTGGGCATCACTAGAAAGCCAACGAGGCCCTCCAGGATCTGCCTTTGGGACCAGCCTCCCCCCAAGGGACACCCCCTGGGCCAGGCAGAGCAACCAGGTACAATCCTGCCAAGGGGACTCATCCATCTGTGGCATGTACGTGCAGGGGTAACAGTACCCATACACACACACACCATGCCAGCCTCCACCTCTCCTTATCACAGTCGGCTCCCTCCTTTACCTATTGCCTTCTTTAGTGTCTCATACGTGATTTCTTCTGCTGGTGCTCTCTAAAAGAAGAGGAGAAGCAAATGAGGCTCAAGACATAACATAGAACACTGTTCTGGGATCACAGCAACCCAGAACTAGGGTCCCAGGCTGTATTCTTGCAACAAAAGAGTCTATCCTTAAAGACCAGGGATCTCTTTCCTGGCAAGCTTTGCTTTTAGTTTTTTTTTCAGGCTGGACTAGCCAGGTCTTACACCTCACTGTAGGTTCCTCTTGCTAAGAAATATGCATACAAGGAAAATAAAGATCAGACACCCAAAGAGCAGTGGGAGACCCTTCCTGCTGTGTGGCTCCCCTTGCACGCTGGGACCTGTCAGTACCTGGAGGGAGCATCAGGGGAAGCTGGGTTTTTTCTGACCTCATTCACTGCTAGACATGCCAGCCCCTGTGCTCACAGCCAGAGGAGCAATTACATGTGCAGGCAAATGAATTAGAGAGGGCTTAACCTCATGCTGTCAGGCTGCTGAAAGCAGAGTGCTGAAGGGATGAGACAGCCTCTGCAGCTGTGGTGTAACACAGTACCTGCTCTCGCTCAGGACTGTTCCTCGACTCCACCTCGACCTGCAGGGAAATAGTCTCGCCAATGCTCTTCCTCTTGGACAAGCGATCTTCATCTAGGGAGGAAGTGAAAGGGCAGAAGATCTAACTGCAGCCTCTCCAGGGCCAGCAGGGTGAGCACAGACAGCCCCCAGAGAACACAGCCTCACAGCTCACCCACAGGGTACCCGCCCATCTAAGCCATTCACCCAGATTTGAGGTGAGGACTGAGCCAAGCCCAGCAGGCTTCTGCCCAGCCAGCTGTGATTGTGACAACCTCAGGAAGGCCCAATTAACCACTTTGTGCCTCAGTTTCCGCGAGGTTGCATCTTTAACAGAGCACCAAAAAACAACAGGCCGACATGTAGGACAAGAACTTTACATCCTTGTAACTGTGCAGAGCGAGGGACCAGTTTTGTCCCTTCCCAGTTCTCCATGGTGCCCCAGGGTGCTGCATACCTGTCAGCTGGGGAACATAGGGTGTGCTGAGCCGGTCTGAGTTGTAACCACTGCCTCCCAGCACCTCACTGATCTTGCTTTGCCAGAAGAAGACCTCTGGGCCCAGTCGGTCAAGGCTCTTGCTCAGCCTATGAAGACAGAGAAAAAACAATGGAGATGGCAGCATCTCTACTGCTAGGGGACTGTGCCAGTGGGGTTTCTAGTCCCTTTGGGTCAGGAACAGAGAGCTCTCATGGTTTTGCTTACCCAGCACAGCCAGATACATCACGCTATGTCAGCACACACCAGCACAAAGCCAGAGGCCCTGAAGGGCTCTCAACCTACCACAACAGATACAGTCCTCAGGGAGAACCACCCTGACCTCAGGAATGTCTCAAGAGAGCAGTGATGCTTACTGGGGGCAGTGTCTCTGTAAGGGGCCTTACCACAGGGGAAGAAGGTATTCTCAAGGCTCTTACCTGGGTCTTTCCACAAACACGTCTTCAGGAAGCAGATAGGGAGCTTCCTTCTGCCGCATCTGGATGACCTGCAGAAGACAAGCAAGGAGCCAAGCTCAAACCCCAGGGGTGGCTTGTACAGTTGATGACAGAGCTGCATGAACAAGGCTCCAGCTCTGTCCCCAGACCCTTCCTCGCACCTCATGGATGTGCTGGCAGAAGGTGGGCACGGTGGTGAGCTGGCTGATGAGGTTCAGGTAAGCTGCACCAAGGGCAAAGAGTGCACAGCGGTTGTAGGCTGTCAAGTTATCCTCATTGATCTGGGCAATCTCCTGCAGAAGAGATACAGCCCCATGATGAGATAAGGATGGACAAGGCCCCAGCAGCGTCCCCATCCACCTTGTGGTATCACCGGCCCTGAAAACATTCCAGCTTTTGGAGCTTGAGTTTTGAAACATTTCAGAGGCTGGCAAGGTGTCTGAGGTCTCTCCCCAGTGTGCTGGGCTGATCCACGGTAGGAGAAGCTTAGAGCAGATGAGGTGCTTCCTCAGAGATCGCAGCTCCAAAACAATCTCTTCCCAGAAGCTCTCTCCTTCCCATCACATCCGAGCCTGCCCACCCCAAGAGCACCGAGTGCCAGCAGCACACCCAGCTCCCCACCTACCTGCACTGCCAGCACCAGGCGGATGAGGTCCACCATGACCTCCTCATTAGCCAACTCAATGCTAATGAGCATCAGCATGCTGTAAAGAGCCTCATAGTGAGCCTGCACATTGCTCTCCTCCTTGCAGATCAGGTAGATATGCCGGTAGAGCTGTTGGCCATGCTGTGGGGACACAGAAGGATGTGGTCACCCCCTGAGTGTCCCCTGTGAGCAACACTGCCATCAACACAGAGAAAGAGCAGCAGCAGGGCCCAGCAAAGGAGCCTCCATCCATGCAGGAGGGAGCAGAGCTCCTCTGGTCACCAAGGGGTGACTATCAGGTGGTATTTTACCATCTGATGCTGGACCCTGATGGGGAAGAGGCACCAGCAGGTCCAAAAGCAGAGCCCGGGGCAGGCACAGAGCACTCGCAGCACCAAGCCCAGGGAAAGGATGCCTCTGTTGCGGAAGCATTAGAGAAACACTCAGACCACAGCAGAAAAATAAAGTCCTGAGACATGTTGCTTGGCAGCAAGACATGAGACAGAGCAGGGCACACACTGGTGCAAGGGAAACTCAGCTCTGTAACAGCTTTTGGTTTGGGGGCTGCGTTGTTGCTCCCCGGTGTGCGCAAGGAAATAAACTGATCCCATCTTGCCTTCAAGTTAGCTCCAGAGAGGTTTGCAGGAAGTGTTTTAAGGAGGCAGTGGGAGGAATAAAGTCAGACTTGCTAAACAGCTTTTGGGATACCAACACATCCTGGGGTGCTCATTCCTTGGGGCAAATAGTGGATTTAGGAGTCTAGAAAGGCCAGCATGTGAAGAACCGATAGAAATTGAATCCCAGGGACATCCCCAGGTTTAGAGGCATCATGGTACTCCAAAAGACTCAGTGTAACTTGGGGAAAGAGAGGCGCAGTCCTCACCCTGGTCTGCACAAGGACAGCTTGTCCCAGACCCTGACACTACCTTCTTCATGAAGACAGTATCTTGGCGAGAGCACTTGTCCACTTTCAGCTTCAAGACTGAGATGTCGCTGATGGTGCTGCAAGAAAAGGCCAAGGGTAATGAAAAAGTCAGACACTGGAGGGAAGAGGCGCAATTCCTGCATGCCTGCAGAGCTGCTGGCCAGGAATAAGCTGTCTGGGAGGAACTGTTGAAAAGCCAATGGTGTCTTCTAAAACCCATCTAAGCAATGCAGATACTCAAAGGTACTGAACCAAATCACTACAGGATTTCAAGGCAGTGGCACTCAGGTACGCAAAGGCAAGTTGACAAAGAAGTGTGCAAGCGAAGTGGATTAGCAGAACCACAGCAAAAACCATGGGGATGTTGCCATCTGGGATTACAGTCACCTTCTTCCAAAGTAACCCAGCATGGACAACATGAGTCCCCAGCAGGCCTATCCACGGTAATGCAATGCAGCCAATGAACTCACTCAAGGAAATGAACTCACATATGGGCACATCTCACCCACATGGCTCTTAGACCACTGATCTGTAGCATTAAACCACCCCAAAACCAGTACTCAATTTAGTAGTAATCCTGCCAGTGCTTCCAACCCAGCAGATCCCCCTCCCAAACCAGTTCTGCAGGATCTGCAATTCCCAGCCCTGTTGAGGAGTCCCCAGGACATACCTGATGGTGGAGAATTTCTGCCGGTTCCCATGGCGATCGATGAAGCTGATGAGGATCTCGAGGACAAAGAGGCGGATCTCAGCATCTTCCATGAGGGCTGCAGAGAGCAGCCTGTCCAGGAAAACACTGGGAAGTGCCGTGAGCATGTTACTGCACTGGAAGCCCACAGACACCTGCAAGCATCAAAAAAAAAATGGAGGCAATGTGACAGCACCACTTCAGGGGGTTACCCTCTTTCAGTTTAAATCCATTTCCCCTTGTCCTATCCCTACAGGTCCTTGTAAGAAGTCCCTCTCTGCTGCCATGCCAGCAGCTGGGATCCCATGGGTCTTGTGAGGGAGGGACGCTCCTGCAGAGTTGGTGGCAGATTTATACCTGGAGGAGGGACTTCAGGAGCATTATCTGTGTCAGCCGATTCCGGTTCTCCCTGCCACAGAGAGAGGAAAGAAATAGTAAATCCAAATAAAATCAAGACAACCCTCCTTCCATGCAAGGATGGAAAAGCCTCAGAAAGGGCAGGACCAGTTTCCCCAAGAGTCACCACCACAAACAGCTGTGCCATAAAGGTCTCTAGCAAATAAGCTCCAGATTTAACAGCCAGCAAGAGACTGTGAAAGTAATGATGAATATCAGAGTATACATCCTGCCATAGGCATCAGAAACAAGGCAGCACCCACATCTCCAGGCAGGCACAAGCTGAGTTCAGGATGATGAGCCAAGATCTGGATGTCCCCATTCCCATCCCACGGTGACTCCCAAGGAACCTAAGGCACTGGCTCTGAACAGGCTCCTCACTTAAGCAGCTGTAAATTGGTGAGATGAAGCCCAAACTCTCCCGTCCATGGAGGTACCCCTATTCCTTGCTCCCATCTTGCTTCTTATGAACCACACTTCCACTTCAGCAATGTGGGTGTGGGGTCGGGGGGGTGGTTATGCAAAAAAGAGGAAATCTTGAATTCTTTACTGGCTGAACTCAGAGTTTCCTAGCCCTGGGGGACACACAGGGAGCTCCCAAGGGATTTCCAGGCTGCCCCACGACACACTGCTTGCTCTGCCTATCTCTGCCCAGGAACTGAGGTACTCCGGAAACAGCAGCATCCCTGAAAGCTGAGCTGCAGGCTGCCTCTTCTGTGCAAACTCCTGGTTCATACACAGAGCAAGCACCATCCTTCACACAGTGTCAGATGAGATGTAAAAGCTCTCCTGGAGGAAGCTCATGAGCTGATAAAGGAGCAGTGACAAACAGCCTGGTGCAGCCAGGCTGGCACTGAGAAGTGACTGCCACCCTGGGGCTGTGAGCCCAATTCTGCTCCTGCAGCAAGGAAAGCTGCCCTGTCTGAACAGCATCCAGCACCCACTGTGTCTCCCACCATGTGAATTGGGATTGAATGCAGGCATCAGGAATTACCTCCATGAGAGTGAGGAGCACAGACTCCTGTCAGTCAGCAAAGTCTCTCTCCCATCAGAGACAAGTGGGAAGAGCCTGACCGTACTTAGAAGATAAATATAGCATGAAAATCTGTTTGCTCCTTACCTACATGTTTCAGCGCCGATACCCTTGCTCCAAATAGCTCTCATGGTCTGTTCCCACATTTCTTAAGCAATTTTGTTGTTTGGGTGTTTTCCCTTCCTTCTCTTCCTCCAGTGCCGGGTATAAATACCACCTCCTTCCCAGTGCTAATAAAAGCTCGGAGGCGGCTCAGAGGGGCCACACACCAGTGGTTGGAGGCAGGGATGAGCAGCTGGTCCCATCTCAAGCTTCTCAAAAGCCACAGGCAGCCCTCACTCACCAGTGGCCACCCCACTGCCCTGCGACATCTGCAGTCACTCCCCTGAACATTGTTTTTAGTTCCTGGCTAGTTTTGGGTGACATGCCAGGATGGAGCTCCCGACAGCAGGTACCTGAAGGGATGCAGAGTTCATGTAGCACAACTGCCTGCAGACATCTTTCTCCCTTGATGATCTGGTGTTTCACGGGGCACTTGTCATCACATTTGCAGCAGCCAGCAAAGCATTTGAAACAAGGATCACATGTTGCTCAGCTTCCCTTGCTCAGCTTCCCCTCAGGGAAGCTCTCGATGCTCAGCCTTTATGATAACATGCCCAAATCCCATTCTGTCCCCAAAGACCATCTCAAGGTGGGAACAGTTTCAGGAGCTCCCCAGCACTTTCAGCTCTGTGTTAAAGACTTGACATGGGACAGTGGCAGGAAGAGCAGGGCAGGGGGGAAAATGAGGAGGGAGGAATGCATCCATTCTCACCCAGCTTTGCCAGCGTCGATGGACTGCTGCGTGGAGGGTAGTGGCACCTTATTCATGATGAAGACCATCACCTCAGACTGCTGGTAGGTGGGCAGCGTGCTGGCAAAGGACCCTGTGGGGACAAGAGCAAGCTGGCAATGTGTGAGGCACAGCCTACCATGCCCAGGAGGACACAGTGCTATGGGGTCTGCCTGCCTGCGCCACTCCAAGCCAGCTGCCGGACCCTATAGGATAGGACAAGGCCTGCCTGGATCTGGCACTTGCAGGCAGATTTACCTTCAGGGTAATTCAAGACCCATCAAAACACCTCACAGGTGTGGCAGCCCCAGGCTGAGGCAGAGTGAGACTGTGAGATGACAACCCCTGCCTTTATCCCTTCCTTTTTTGGATGTATCCCCATCCTCAGCTGCCGCAGCAAACTGACACCCGCCCCCTTTCCCTCCTCTCCTTCCCTTCCTCCGGGTGTCCTACCCAGGGAGAAACCCAGGACTCGCCACACACAGCAGCTCTGCTGGGGATGACCGGGGTTGCAATGCCACCTGCTGATAACCCACCGCCACGCTTGCAGCACACCACAGATAATACTTATTTCCATCACCTCTTTTAGCATGAGTGACTGTTTCATCCCAGATAATCCTGCAGATGCTCAAGGCAGAAATCTACCATGCAGAGGGGCCACTCACCAGCAGCTGTGTGGGGCTCTGCAGGACACCCACCTATGGTTTTAATGACAGCCTCCTGGAACATCCTCTCCTCATGCTCTTTGATGATCTTGGTGCTGACTCCGGCACCACAATCATAGCTCCCCGTCAATGCATAGTCAATGCTGAGCCGTAGCTGTCTCAGCAGGGTGTTAAACACCTCCAGCACTGTGGGGCCTGTGGTGGTGAGAGTGAAAAGACAATGGAACAGCACTGGAGGAGAGCTGTGGTTTTCCCCAGGGAGATGAAGGCTGTTTCCCCCAGGACAGCGAGGTTTATGCATCCTGTTTCCCCCAGGACAGCAAGGTTTATGCATCCCAACACCCCATAAGCATGTTGAAAAACAGTTTGGCCACACACACAGTGACTTCTAACCCCCGCCAGCTTCCTCAGCTAAGACAACAGAGAAATGTCCTTCCAGGAGCGCTGTCATTTCAGCATACTCACGGCAAGCCCCGAAAATCCCTTTTCCCCCTGTCACAAAGGCTGGCATTGCAGTCAGCTTTCTAGGTTTAGGTTGCTGCATGTGAGCATGGCGAAATGAAATGGCACAGAACAGATACCCAGCATTCCTGGGTGTTCCAGGATCCCCCATCACCAACTCACACCGGGGGGGGGCAGTCCAGAACCCAGCCCAAACCTTTGGCACTCCTTCACCATTCCCACTGCAATAAAAGGGTGAAGAGGCGGATGGAGAGGATAAATTTGTCTTACCAACAGATCCAGAGGCCGCAATCACTGCTGCCTCCGAGAGGACCTCCACAATGCCTGCGCGCACAGTGGCCGCGCTCTTGCTGTTGGCATCCAGGTGTCCCAGGAGCTGCTGGATCACGAGGTGGGAGTGCTGTGGCTGGAAAGAGTGTGAATGTCAGTGTGGGTGCTGCATGCATGAGGTGATATCCCATTTCTGTAACCCTCACAGCTATCAGGGACAGATCTTGCACATGCACTCAGCTGCACCAAGTCCCTGCTTGGCTCTTTCCAAGACAGCTCCAGATGCAAAATGAGAGGAGGCTGCTGGAAGTAGCCTGTTTTACATAACTGAGCAAGAGTCTGGAGCAAATTGCACAGGAAAAAACATCTAAAGAGCTGTACAGATCTAAGGAAATTGTGACAATTAATCCCAGGGATTTCAGGGAGAAAGGACTTGATTTTTGCCAGGGTTTCCCAAACACATCTATACTTCAAAAGGGTACTGGAGTTATTGTGACCTTATATCTCCAATGTGCATTAATGGGATTTTGTAACATCTAGTAGCAGTGTAAAGGGGTTTAGGCAGTTTACAGGATTAAAACCAAGAAATGAGAACAGGGGGTGGTGATATGCTTTTCACTCTAAGGGTTCTCCAAGCAAAGCCATGGCTTGGCTGAATCCAAAAGCAAAGCAAACTCCCAAAGGTATGAGGTAGGACAGCAGGTCTGGGGCAGCTGCAGCAGACTGGGGAGGCAGCATCATGTCCTACAGCATGCAGGGACCCATGGAAACAGAGTTTCATTGAGATCCATGTGAAAAAGGAAAGGACAGACATTCTTCCATCTCTTTGCGATTTACCTAAATTGCATTTCCACAGCCCACAGTGAGAAGGGAATCACAGAATTGTAGAATCACAGAACGGTTTGGGTTAGAAAGAACCTTAAAGCTCATCTGTTTCTAACCCCACAGGCAGGGACACCTACCACTAGACCAGGTTGCTCCAAGTCCCGTCCAACCTGGCCTTGAACACTGCCAGGGATGGGGCAGCCACAGCTTCTCTGGGCAACCTGTGCCAGGGCCTCCCCACCCTCACAGGGAAGAACTTCTTCCTAAGATCTCATCTCAATCTATCCTCTTTCACCTTAAATCTGTTCCTCATTGTCCCATCAAGAGGAAGAGCCTGGCAAGATCTGTCTCTGAGCATCCCCAGGTCTAAGGATGGGGATGTTGGGCTGCAGGCACTGTTACGATGCCTGGTTTGCCTGGGGCACATTTCACCCCAGACAGCCTCTCTCCTTTTCTGCAGGGATGAGGAGCTCAGATAGATTTACATAGCACCAATCTGGAAAGAAGCAGCTTTCCGTCGGAGTCCAACTGCTTCCTTTGGAGTGTTTCACATCACGCCACTAGCCCATCTGATTCAGCAGGGCTTTGCTTTCCACTGAAAGGGAGAGAATCACTCCTAGGACTTAGATACAAGCTCCATGAGCAGTATCCTACACCATACACAGCCGGCACACAGCCAGGCTAACTAACACCTACCAGGCACTTCCCTGCACATCCACAGGGCCCCCAGCCCCACTGCCATCCACCTGGACTCTGCTTGTCTCCAGCCCATTTTGGGGCACACTCTGTAAGCACTCAGACTCAGCACCGCTGGGATGCGGCAACACAGCAGTAGCTGCTCTGACTCAGCCCAGCTGTGGTGGCAAATGCAGGCACTCCAAAGCATGCACGTGTGTCCCTAACCAGAGTCCCACCAGCTCCCCACCTGGATTGAATACATGATGATCCTGAAGCAGCACGTGGCAAAGATCTTCGGCTCCCACAGCGAGTGGTTATCCAGGTGGCTGGGGAAGAGATGGAAATGGAAGGGGAAGTAACTGTCAGTCCCCCAAAGTTTGTAGGGGTGCAAAGCAAGCACCAGGGATGGCCAGAAGCAGCAGGGATCAAACACTGCATGAAAGGGCAGGGACACAAACTCCTTGCTGGAGTCACTTCTCTCAGCGACAGCTATCTATCTATCTATCTCATGCCATCTCCCCCACTGCATCCAAAAATGAGAGCTCAGCCTAAAACCCAGTCCCCATCTCCAGTACCATGCTGAGGGGAGCCAGAGGATTCCATGCCTTCACCCTAGCTCTGGCCTGCATTGGCTGTTTCCCCGTGCCTCAGTTCCCCTGATGCCAAAAATGAGGTATGCATGACTTACATGAGGACGGGTTTGATGGCGTTCTTGATGTTGCCGTACGCTGCTCGGCCCAGCAGCTCCCGCAGACACCTCTCTGCCAGCTCCGTAGGACTCTCCTTCTCCTTCTCAGTGGCTTGCAGCGGGGAGGGGGAGCGGCTGTGAAAGCAGAGGAGGGCGATGAGAGCGGCACTGAGTTTGAGGCAGCAGTGGGGGAGAAGAGACACAGAACCTGGCCAGGGAGGGATGGAGCAAAATGGTCGTGGGATCTGTCTGTGCCCTGTGTGGCACAGGGCCGTGGGTTACCACTCACACAGCCCATAGCCACCGCACAGCAGCCAAATGTCACCCTGCCAGGCAGATGGGATAGCTTCATCCCAGCAGAGCCCAGTGATAAAGCGCTGCTGGATTGGAGCCAGACCAGAGAGCAGCATGGTGCATGGATTGCAGAGGAGGGGGATGTGCCAGGATGGCCCTGCTTGCAGCACCAGGCTGTGCCAGGCAGCAGGGACAGCCCCCGCATCCCTGGGGCCGGGAGGATGATCACAGTGCTCAGTGCTGGAGCAGGAAAGGATCTTATCACTGAGGATGCAGGACACAACGTCCTCCCAGGGTGGACACAGCTTCCCAGGGGAGGAAGAGCAAAGCAGTCATGGCCTGGCACAAATCACCCTGAAAACACGCACCCCAGAGGAGACCCATCCCCCTTTTTCCACACTCGACCTTGCTTGGCATCACACAAACACCTTGAATGCTTTTATCACCTTGATGCTTCCATTTACAAGAAAAAAGGAAAAGGCATCTGGCCAGAAGTCAACTTCCCAAGGCAGATACATCTCTCAACCTTCAAAAGGAAAATCTCAGGAGGAATTCATACCTACTTCTCTGCTCTGTGCTTCTCTGCTAAGCAAATCCCCTTCAAACACACAGCTGGTGGCAAGCACGTAACTGGTGCAGGGTTACGCCGGAAGAATGGAGGGTCAGCAAGCAAAGACACATTTCAGTTCCTGAAATTCCTCTTGTCTGGCTTTAAAATAGCTGCTTCAGTAGCATTTAAGCAGGAATCCCTCAAAAAGGTCAGCCCACTGAAAAGGCAGCTCAGAGCCTTTGCAAACAGCATCCCTTAACTGCAGGGATGTCACAGAGAGATCTCTGCTCCATGGGAGACATGGTGTCCTGCAGTGGCAAAGACAGCAATAACCTTCACAGGACTGGGTGACATGCAGAGCTCCTGCCACCTGCAGCATCCTTCGCTGAGGTACTCACAGGGTTTCCCCTCTGGCCACTCACTGCATTTGTCATGAGCTGCAGGCACTAATCAGCCTGCAGTGCCTCTGCCCTGCAAAACCTTGTCAAAAAGGACCCCGAAGCTGCTGGCAGAGCAGGTGGGTCAATGCCACATCAAGCTCTCACCTTTCAGACTCCTCCACGTGCTGTAAGTTGAAAAGCAGCGAGGGCACGATTTTGTCCATGTGCTGTGGGTCCCAGATGTTGGCTTGGAGCTCATCATTCACTGTCTTTCTCACCACTCCTTGTAGGCCCTTAATGCCAGACATCCGGATCCTGGGGAGCAAATTGACATCAAAATGCCACAGTATACGTTATTTTACATTTATATACACAGGTGAAACTGACTCTAGCCTGGTATACCCTAGGGCAGTCCTCCTGCCTCGCATCCTCCAGAGATGTGGCTTCCCACAGCCCAACATAGACAAGCAGGAAAGGCCCTGAACCAGCTAAAATCATCCTGGCAGCAGCAGCTGGCTCCCATCAACCATCTTTCCCAGGAGACCCCTGGGCTGCATCACCAGCAGCATGACCAGCAGGTTGAGGGAGAGGATTCTCCCCCTCTAACTGCTCTGGTGAGATCCCTGCTCTTGCAGTACTGCATCTAGCTCTGGGCCACTAACATCCATCCAGTAAGGATGTGGAGCTTTTGAAGTGAGCCCAGAGGAGGCCACAGAGATGTTCTGAAGGCTGGAGAAAGGCTGAGAGAGCTGGGCTTGTTCAGCCACGAGAAGAGAAGGCTCCAGGGAGACCTTAGAGCAGCTTCCAGTGCCTAAAGGGGCTGACAAGAAATCTGGAGAGGGGCTTTTGATAAGG